CCTATCCTATCATCATCCCATCCCATTCCCATTTCCATTTCCATTCCCATCCCCATCTCGTCTCCAACCCATTCCTATTCCCATCCCCATCCCAATTCCCATCCCCACCCCATCACTCCCTATTCCCTTCCTACTCCCTGGGGTCCCACCCCCCCTCCATTTGTATGGGTGTCTCCCACCCATGGGTCCTGGGCAACGTGTGAAGAAGGGACCCCCACCCAGGGCACAGCCACGTCTGTGCCCACACAGCCCCTATGGCTGCGCTGCTGCTTCCCCCAGCCTGCCGAGAGGTGACGTTTAGATTAGAGGATAATGTGCTGGAAATAATTGCCTTAATCAAGAAAGGTTAATGAGGCGCCCGTGTGCACAGCTCACGGCACAGCGGCAGCGGGCGCAGCACCCACGGGTGACACTGGGGATGGCTCTGGGGCCACCCCATCCCCGTGGCCCTCGGGGGGCACATTGTCAGTGGATACATGGGATGTGGGCCCATGGGACACAGCATGGGACATGGGCACCACGTGGATCTGTGGGATATGGACACCATGGGATATGGGATCCATGGGATATGGGATCCATGGGATATGGGATCCATGGGATATGGGACACCACGGGTCATGGCCCAAAGGGACACAGATGGACACCATGACACCCTGCGGTGTGGGAATGCTGGACACCGACATCATGGGGGACAGACCCAGGGGACACAGATGGACAGATGGACCGTGGAATGCGCACAGCTGGTGCACGATGGCACAGGTGGACACCATGGGGCACCGATGGGACACAGGGCACCACGGGATCCAGGGGACATGGATGGACACCATGGAATGAGCTCAGCCAGCACACGGTGGCACACGTGGGCACCAAGGGATGTGGGACACCAGTGGGACGTGGGACACCATGGGGCACGGACCCCTTGCACATGGATGGGCACCATGGAATGCGCACAGCTGGTGCACAGCGGCACCCGGGACACCACGGGGCACCAGGGGACACGGATTGAAGGGACACAGCCGGACACCGCGGGACACACAGCCGGCTCACAGCGAC